AACCACTGCACCACCACGGCTCTTTATAATCCCCATAGCGCTATACAATCTCTAATACAAAGTAATGTGTATTTGGGTGTTAGGTACCCAACACTGTAATACGTACAGGAACGTGCAGCGATAGGGCAGCAAACTCAATGTACAAGAAACAGTAAGAAAAGAACCTATTTTATAGCACATAACTGAGCATTCATTATACGTAAGTTCAGAAAATCTTGGGAAAATGTTCAGGTCCACCTGGGCTAAGCGTAGTTGGAGAAGAACGAGTAGAAAAGGCAAAGAGATGCATAGGATCTGGACAGGCAGTGAGCATTCCAAGCGGGAGACAAAAGAACAGGTTCACGGAGGCAGAATTCGCATGGTAAGCTCAAGGGATAATAAGGCAACTGGCCTAACTGGATGGGGAGTGACGAGAAACATGGTTAAGGAGCTTGGGTGTGATCACTGATGATCATGCAAGGGAGCATGAACTTCTAGATGAAACAGGCGGTCACTAGCATCAAATACCAAAGTGGTCAAGAGCAGGAACAGAGAAAAGGTCACTGAATTAGGTAAGGAGTTAATGGTGAACAAAACCCGTAAATAAAAAGGCTCAATTATTTTCCGGTAAAGAGTCACCATAGTAAATATTGCTGACTGAAAACTAAGTTAAATACCTAACAACTGTTTGCCCAGCGTGGCTCCTTCTAATGACATACAATATTACGCAAATATACTTAGGGCAATTATCAAGCTTTCAGAGTTGGGAGGGCCCTTGGAGAGCACAGTCAGCCACCCTCATTTTTACAGATGATGAAATTCTCTTCTGACAGGCTAAGTCCCAAGTTAGCCAGGCACAGACAAGAACCCAGGTCTGACTCCAACTGCTTGTCCCCACGATAAAACACTGTCAATTAAGTTCATTTTATGACTCTAGATGCTTGTGTAGGCTCTTCCTGTAAGACTGGGTTCTTAAAGCTACAACCGTCATTTTGTGTACTGCAGTTCCCTTTTTGCTGGTGAGTCAAACATTAAGAACAATTTGCTAGCGCAGCACATCTGGGAAGGCTTAGTGACTAAAAGATGGTCTAGTGATTTAAACATTCAAATAATGATGACCCTGCATCTCTCTCTATTTCAGAGTCACTATCTTTTCTGAAACTTTAGTCTTCCTTAAAATTAACAGTCATTATATTAAATACTATTCTCCATCATGTCTTTAACAGTCTACTACTAAAAAATCTTTTTATAATAAGTTATAAAGCTCTACCTACAAAATAAGAAGCCCTGGTGATGCAATAGTTAAGTGCTCTTGGCTGCTAACCGCAAGTCTGGCGGTTCAAACCCACCTAGCGGCTCCGCAGGGGAAAGACCTTGTGACCTGCTCCCGTGAAGATCACAGTTTACAAGGCCCCGTGGGGCAGTTCTCCTCTGTCACACGGGGTCACCATGAGTCAAAACCGACTCGAGGGCACTTAACAACCTACAAAACTATGTAAATTTATGAATTAATAGGCTTGCTATTAAAAACCTTAAAAAGTCACATATAAGGTTCAAGTAAAACAATCTTTTTTTGCCTTAGGCAAACATTTACTCTCACAAATGTCCCAAGATGTAATTTGCTGACATTACGGATCTTCCCAACATAAAAATAGAGCATTTCGATTTAGTACATATCAATTTTCAAATGTAAACAATGAAAAGCACCAACATAGTTGAGAGAAATTGCTTCTCGGCTGTTTGTTTCTTGGCACTTGCAAAATAATATCATTTGTAATTTAATAAATTGAAATCACTGGTGAATCCTGAAACAAACTGCCGGCCCGAAGAGTAACTATAATCACAGTACTGTGCAGGACACTCACCTGGCACCGCCGACACAATGCGCAGCTTATCGCAGAGAGAATATCACACACATTTAGGTCGCTGCACCAGCTTAGGAGCAAGTAATTAGATTGCGAAATATCGATTCTTCTCTTAAAACAAAACAACCTCACAGAAGGGAATAAGGGCAAATCTAAGGATAGAATAAACTGATCGTGTAAACTGAGGACACCAGTGACCCTTACACTGAATTCTCAGCTGAGTCTTTATTTCTTCATCAGGTCCAGAAGGGTAGATGGTAGTTAAACAAACAAAAACCCCAAACCCACTGCTGTCACGGCCATTTCGACTTATGGTGACCCCACGTGTGTCAGAGTCGAACCGCACTCCAGAGGGTTTTCAAGGCTGTGACCTTTTGGAAGCAGATTGCCAGGAGCCTCTGGGTGGGTTTGAACCACCGACCTTTTGGTTAGAAGTCGAGCACTTAACCACCTGCCCCACCCAGGGACTCCTGGATGGTAGTCAGGGGATGCTTACATTTTGGACACGTCTCTGACAAAGTTAAGGTGATGTCTGAAAGGTGGGCAAAGGCATGTAACTCTGAGAGTTATTAAAGTTATGCTCTTTTACCTCTAACTCCTGCCTCCCGTCGGCCAGCTCCGCTCCCGACTCCTTTGGTGTTCAGCTCTGTTCACAGCACGCCCCACACAGCCTCAGATTTTTAAAAATCTTGAAAGTAAAAAGGACCCCAGAGGCAATCCAACTCTTAGGACTCTAAAGTAAGAACTTCCTAAGTATAAGCTGTCTGATTTTTAAGTTCTAGAGCAGAGGTCCTTTCCCTCTTGGGATCTTTGAGAATCTGCTAAGATTTATGGGCCCAGAAAAGCATGCCCAAACACATAAACGTACAACATTTTAAATAAATGGGGTCTGCAAGTCCCTTGTTAAAATACCTCCTCTTCTGATTACAGCTGTTTCCTTCTTTAAGCTCTGGGATTCTATTTAATGTTTAAAAATAAATCATGTAACATAAAACAATCTAGAATTTGAGTTACGGCAAAGCAGATCTTGCCCGTTGCCCCAGGCTGGCTGACAGTTTTTATTTACTTCCGAACTTGTGGGGTAATTCCTGTAATATATTCTTATTGTAATGACATAAGACATTATTAAAACAGACAAAGTAGGAACAAAAAGACAACCATGAAAATGAAAGGCCATAATGAAAACATATTTTTTTTAATGTCTGTATTGAAGACAGCATTCTTGTAACAATACAAGTTCCCCAGGAACAATAAATGGACTTCACAGAGAGACACTAGTTTTTAATCTTTCCCCACTTCTCATCCTGAATGATAAGAACCAACAGGAATACTCTAACAACTCCTTCCAGGCAAATAAATCTTTCCCTCTTCTAGGCATCCAAGTAAAAAACTTACCACCAAAACTCTGGTTGTATTCTATCCCAAGGATGTGGGAACTCACTGACTAAACTATAAATAAGGTAATCAGATTACCTTATTTATTTTCTAAGCACGGCCACTTCTGATCAGGAAGGAAAAGTCATGGGCAAGTGAAAATAGGAGATTTAATGGGGAGCAAATACAGATGATGTCTTTTGAGCGGCAAGAATGCTTCAGATGAATATTAATTTCTGTTCTAAAATTTATGTAGACACATATTAGCTCTAAGGAAGAAAAACACATCTGATATCTAAAAGTCAGGTGAGAGCTGTGGCAAGAGGAAGAGCAGAAGGAAGCACAGTCTGAGTAAAGGCACAACCATTGCAGCAGGGAGCCCGTTACCCGGTAGGAACCTAAAGGCGGCCAGTGTGGAGATACCTAGAGGGAGGCAGGAGAGATGGGGCCAGACCCTCTTGGGTTCCAAAGGCCACGCTGCCATTTGCTTCCAAGTGACTTCCCAGTCATCTCCAAATGGAATTACTTTGGTAGTTAAAAACAGCACCAGTTTTCTGACTGTTGTTTTTCTATTCAATAAAAATAGGTCATCTGAGTTCTAAGAATTTAAGTTCCAATCATCGGAGTTCTAAACTCTTCCCAAGGAAACCAACGGGCTAATTTTACCTGGGATGGTTTGGTTTAAAAAAAAAAAAAAAAAAAACCATAAACATTCGAGGCATTCTGATTTTCCCTAAACTGGTCCTCTTGCGGAGGAGCCATAGTGGCTCAGTGGTTAAGCTGCCAACGGAAAGGCCCGTGGTTCCTACCTACCTGCCGCTCCGCCCTAGAAAGATGTGGCAGTCTGCTTCCATAAAGATTTACAGCCTTAGAAACCCTATGGAGCAGTTCTACTCTGTCCTACAGGGTCGCTATGTGTCGGAATCGACTCGAGGACAAGTTTGGTTTTCTTTGGTTTTGACCCTCTTGCAGAAGTTAAAAAGGACATAGGAACTCAATACACGTGTACATTAAATTATAACGTACATGTCAATGACGTCTTGATGTTTTCTACAACAGGTTTAAGTTACCGTAATTGCCTGAAGTAAAATGGAACTCAGTGAAGTGGAAAGAGAAAAACATCACGTCCTAGTTCTGCTACCTGGGCGCACACACGCGCGCGGACACACACACACAGACACAGGCTGCCCTTCTGACTGTCTACCTTGTACACACATATTCCTCGTTCGGAAATAATATTTATTTTCCAGTTAATAGAAAACTTTTGGGAGATAACTAGTTGGACACACACATTTCAGTGCCGTGCGTGACATCGGAAGCCTGTGTCCAAGTGACGCGGCCCCATGGGCTTGCCCCAGGAAAACCGCAGGAACCACAGAAAGATAAACAAAAAGGACTACTCTGAATACAGGCACTTTGGGTAACAATACAGATCACACCAGGGAGAGCAGGGGAAGGTCGGCTTCAGAGAATGGGTGAAAGAAGTCTAAGTGGACGACTGGGGTCTCCTCCGACGCATTTCCTGGACCCTCCTAACACGCTCGGTGGCCCTGGGTCACCACTGGGGACCCAACGTAGGGAGCTCCGCGCGGTGCGGGCGGCCGGAGGGTAGGGGGAGACCCAGGGTTATCGCCCCCTCCCCAGGAGATGTGGAAACGGCCGCTTCCGGAACCAACAGGGTGAAAGAAGCGGCTGGGCAGCCCCCAAGCCCGCAGGCCAGCGGCCCCGGGGCGCGACCCCACCGGCAGGCCGATCTACCGCCCGCTCCCGCCGCCCACTCACCAGCTGCAAGCCTTTGAGCGCGCGCCGGTACCACTGCAGGCGGCCCGGGGAGAAGAAGGCGGTGAGGCCGCTCCGGGCGCCCCTGGCGGGCCCCGGGGCCTCCTCTGTGGTGGGGGCGTACACCGCTCCGTTCTCCATCGCCCAGGGCCCGGGAGCGCGGCGGCCGCAGCGGTGGCGTCGCGCACTCCACCAACTCCAAGAGAAGTCTACGAGAGCTCAGCGCCGTCACTTCCAGGGTCCCCAGCCCCGCTTCCGGCCGGCCCCGGCCCCGCCCCGGCCCCGCCCCCGCTTCCGGCCGGCCCCAGCCCGCCTCCGCGCTAACCCCGCCTCCTGTCGCCCTAGATTTTATCCCCTCATGAAACCTCAGACGGTCAGCTCTTGGGTTCCTGGCTTTCGCCCAAGGTTTGGGTTCTCTCCATGGACATTTAAACATCGATTTATTTCTCACCTCTCTCAATCTTCCACCTTCCAGACATTTATTCCTTCAATCTATAATTGAGTGCCTACGGTGTGCAAGGGGCTGCAGTTACGGCCATGTATCAACCCACAACACAAGATCCCTGCCTTCAGGGAGCTAACGTTCCAATAGAGGAGATAGACAATAAACAGGTAAATAACAATTTCAGATAGTGATAAGTGACATGAAAACAATGCTGGGATGTGATGAACAGTTGAGTGCTGATCAGGGTGGTCGGGATAGGCGTCTGGGGACCATGATATTTGAGTTGAGTGAGACCTGAAGGATGAGAAGGAGCCAGGCTTGTGAAGATCTGGAGAGGGACTTCCGTGCAAAGGAAACGGCAAGGACAAATGCCCTGCAGTGCAGGGCAAATGAGCTTGGATCATTCCGGAATCCAAAGGCTGGTGTGGCTGGAGCTGAGAAAGGGAGAGGAGATGAAGCTGGGGCCACATACTGCAGGAGCTTTGGAAACCAAGAGAAAAAATTGGATTTCATTTTAAATGCAAAGGGTTGTCTGGAAGAACTTTCAGGACTGCACCTTCCTACATCTTGGAATTCCTTTTAGGCTTGCTTGTCAAAATTATTTACATAGTATCTTGGTTATATAGTGCCGCTATAACAGAAATACCACAAGTGGGTGGCTTTAACAAACAGAAATTTATTCTTCCACAGTTTAGAAGGGTAGAAGTCCAAATTTAGGGTGCCAGATCCAGGGGAAGGCTTTCTCTCTCTGTCAGCTCTGGGGGAAGGTCCTTGTCATCAATCTTCCCCTGGATCTAGGAGCTTCTCAGCACAAGGACCTTGGGTCCAAAGGACATGCTCCACTCAACGGCTTTTCTTTCTAGGTTGTAGGGCGTCCCCCTCCTCTCTGCTACTTCTCTCTTTTGTATTTCAAAAGAGATTGACTCAAGATACAACCTAATCCTGTAGATTGAGTCCGGCTTCATTAACATAACTGCTTCTAATCCTGCCTCATTAACATCATAGAGGGTAGGATTTACAACACATAGGATAATTACATCAGATCACAAAATAGAGGACAACCACTCAATACTGGGAATCATGGCCTAGCCAAGTTGACATATATTTTGGGGTTTACTTGGCCTTTTCTTGTTCACCAACTGCGGCAGTCACATAATTTAACTTTGTGTGAACTGTAAGTAAACTCATCAAGGCAAGTAATTATGTTTTAACAACTGACATTGATTGAGGTATCTGTGCCAGGAGTATTTTCCTCACAACAGTATAAATTTGAGAAAACCGAGGCCAAGAGGCAGAGTATCGTATTCAAGATCCAACCAACATCTGGTAAATGGGGCAGCTAAAATGAAGGCTTAGGCAGTCTGACGCACCACTTTGCTACTTGGAAGGATTGCTCAATAAGCAAGGTACGCACAAGCAGACTTGTGCTTACTTACTAATCTGTAGTGTACAATTTCACCTGTCCCATGTCCACCTTGCTTACCATAAGCCCGTGTGTACCTTGCTTGCTGGTTCATCAGTCCCGGTCATTACTAACCACTAACCCAGCAAACCTCAGCCTCTAACCCATCTCTCCACTGGTGTCTCAAAATCTTGATGCCATTTGCGTCCACAGTTATCTGCTCTTCTCTGTCCCCAAACCTCCCTTTCTTCCTCCAGTAACAAAACAAAAGCTCCCATTGAGAAGAGTAGAGACAAATAGATACCGCTCTGAAAGAGAGCGTATGGGGAGCTGTCACAGCCAGCCAAAAGTAGCTTGTTGTCTTTGATTCAATGTATTCTAAATGTCCCCCCAAGGCCAAGCAACAACTAATCCTGTCCAAGAAAACCAGGCCACTGTATTTTCACCAAAGCTTCAAGGATTATTGTTAATCTGTGTTATTCTTCAAGTCCCCCCCATCCTAAATTGGCCACTACTGATGTCTGCAATCTACTTTGAATTCATCCAAAAAATAAGATGTGTTGATGAATAATAGCTGGATGGATAAAAGGCCTGACATCTATTAAAACGAGTACAAAACCATAAAAAACTAAACCTGTTGCCATCGAGTGGATTCCGACTCATAGGAACCCTATAGGACAGGTTAGAACTGCCCCATAGGGCTTCCAAGGAGCAGGTGGTGGATTCAAACAGCCGACCTTTTGGTTAGCAGCCAAGCTCTTAACTACTGTGCAACCAGGGCTCCGAAAAAAAAACAAGTACGGCAACATGTTCATGGTAAAATCCAGGTGGAGTATGTCAGTGTTCACTGCACAATTCTTTGAACTTTTCTGTATATTTAAAGGTTTTCAAAATAAAATGTTGGGGTGAAAGTTTAAAAAAGAGAGGCAGAGACACGCTGAGACAGGAGATAAGACAGACTCTGTCAACCCCCTTGGTTTGTTTAGGGTGCATGCCAGTCGATGCTCTGGGGGTATCTGCTTCTTTCTGAATTTAGAAGAGGAAAAGAATATAGTCTATATGTCACTCTTTAGCCTGTGGCTCACAAACTTCAGGGTGCATAAGAATCCTCTAGGAGGTTAATTGAAACAAAGATTTTCAGAGAGCCAGATGCAAAGATTCTGAATTTGGGTGGGGTTGGGGCATGTACTGTCATGGGGAGCTCTCCAGGAGAGTCTGATAAGAAATCCCTCCACACAGGGAAACACTGTTTTCTTTTTTTAATTTTACTGTTGTACTTTAAGTGAAAGTTTACAATTCAAGTTAGTCTCGCATACAAAAATTTATACATACATTGTTATGTGACCCTAATTGCTCTTCCTATACTGTGACAGCACATCCCTCCTTTCCACCCCTGATTTCCCGTGTCCATTCAACCAGCTCCTGACCCTCTCTGCTTCCTCATCTCACCTCCAGACAGGAGCTGCCCATTTAGTCTCATGTATCTACTTGAGCTAAGAAGCACACGCTTCACGAGTATCATGTTATGTCCCGTAGTCTAGTCTAAGCTTTGTCGGAAGAGTTGGCCTCAGGGATGGTTTCAGTTCTTGGTTGACAGGAAACACGGTTTCCCAACGTAATGAAAGTGAAAGCCCCTAGGTAGTAGAGAGCAGATAAGTCACAACTTCCTTTGCACAAATTGATTGATTACTAACCTAAAGGTTGATGGTTTGAACCCACCCAGCAGCACTGCAAAAGAAAGTCCTGATGATCTGCTTCTGTAAACATTACAGCCAAGAAAACTCTATGGAGCAATTCTATTCTATAAGACATGGGGTTGCCATGAGTCGAAATCAACTCAGCAGCAATGGGTTTAGTTTTGATTTATCCCTCCCAGTTAAAGAAGTGTGGCTCTCTTATGCTTCCTTAATTAATTAAAGATCAAATAAAGATGTTAGGGCTTCATGAGCAAACACTTGCAATGGGCAGCCCTTTTGCTGGGAGCATCCACACAGAAACTGTCACCTTCCTTAATGAATAAACAACCCTGAATAGTCAGATTCAGGGATTGTCACATTGAAATGAGAAATCTTACTTATACTGAAAGGATACACCAGATGGCAGAGGGGAAGATGTATTTAATTTAGGTTTTGAAGTGTATTCACTTTTTTTCTTTAATATTTAATATTTTATGAGGGAATAAAAAGCATTCACAAGAATATTTACACTATTTGGGAAAATATGATTTGATGGGATTTTAGACACTCAAAAAAATAACTTCTTGCTACTTTTTCTTTTTTGGTGCTACTTTTTCAGTTGAGATTTTAATTTTTCAGCAGCTCTTACTCAAAATTTTTCACCGGCTCTGTTATCTATATTAGCACAGTTAGGCAATAATGTGGATACAAAGTTGGATCACAGATACTGTCCTAAAATGAGGTCACAGGAATGTCCATAAAAGACCATGTCACAAAATATAAAAGTGGTATGTGTTATAAAACCAAAACCCATTGACGTCAAGTCGATTCCAACTCATAGTGACCCTACTGGACAGAGTAGAACCGCCCCATTGGGTTTCCAAGGAGCAGCGGCTGGATTCGAACTGCTGACCTTTTGTGGCTAGCAGTGAGCTCTTAACCACTGCGCCATCAGGGCTCTATGTGTTATTAAAAAAAAAAACAAACCCAAACCCCTTGTCTTCGAGTTGATTCCGACTAATACCGACCCTATAGGACAGAGCAGAACTGCCCCATAAGGTTTCCAAGATGAGGCTGGTGGATGCAAACTGCCGACCTTTGGTTAGCAGCCGAGCTCTTAACTGCTGCGCCACCAGGGCTCCATATGTTATAAAGGAGAAACAAATTAAACGTGTTAGGAATCCAGAAGAGAGAGAAATGACTTCCTGATAAAAGGATTTGTTAGGCGGAGCTTCAAGCTGGATGTCAAAGGATTCTTAAGGTTTGGACAAGCAGAAACAATGCAGAGGGTATCCTCGGCTGAGGGGCAATAGGAAGAAAGGCAGAAAGAGTGCACATAGGCACAGTGATAGGAGGGGAGCAAAGACAAAGAGGAGTCAAGAAAGAGATGTTTGGGGTTAAATTTTGGAGGGCCTCTAAAACCAGGCTAAAGAATTGGGACTTTATGTTGCTGGGCAACGAGGAACCATCAAAAATCTGGGGACAGGGGAGTGAAATGTCCAAAGCTCTTTCTTGGGAATATTTTTCTAGCAGCCTTGTGTAGGCAGGATTGGTTACAAAGAGCCAGGTAGGGGCTGCTGTAAACGCTCAGGAAAGAGGAATAAGGGCGTATACTATGTCTTAGGCTGGGATCTCTAGAGAAGCAAAACCAGTAAAGCATATATATATAGAGAGAGAGATTTATATCAAGGAAACGGCTCACGCAGTTG